AATGTCTTCACCCGGAAAATCTCCTTCACCCTGTACAAGAGGATAAGCCCGTGAGGAGCCCAATATTAAATCACTCGTCAGCAAGCTGCCTGTGAGTCAGGACTTCACATACAGCAAAGCAGCTACCTCACCGTAAAAACTGTTGAAAAGCCAGCCCTTGACACAAGCAGCCACCTCTCCCTGACAAAATGGGGCTGATGATGATAATGTCTACCTCAGAAGCATATGCACCTGCATGCGCAAAAGGGTTCTGGAAACTGCCCGGAGCCATCCCAGGAAGGTGACATTATGGTTCCCAGAATGAGACTGAAAGGAAAAAAGAGGGCAGAGCAAGGAGATGATGATGCAGGATGCAGGCGCAGGACAAAAGCCAAGAGGACAAATGGGCCCAGCACCCCAGTGGTCGGAGCAGGTGGAACTGTTTCGTTCACTGCTACGTCGCAGAGCTTAGCCCACTGGGTGGCAAAATAGACACAGTAAATGCTTCCTGAAGGCCGTGGAAATCGACCTCAGTCTTGACAATACTCAGTGCGTGCGTATCTGGTGCCCAATGAATATATGTTGGATTCATGCACAAATGAGCAGAAACAAATCAGAGAGGAGTTCCTAGCCCAGTTCTCCACTTCCCAGCTTTTTCCACACTCCTTACCACAGACCCCCACTGCCCATACAACTGGAGATTCTTGAGATCTGTGAATGCCCTCAAATTATATCATGCACACTTGAAAATGTACCATCCTGGATAAAAAGATGTCCAATTTCTGCCCAGGAAAACATGTAACTAAACCGTGCTCTGAAAGATGTACATCTGACAGTCATAGTGGCCACTCCTGTAACCTCAGTACTCTGAGAGCTGATGCAGAAGAATCATAACTTCAAGCTGGGCTTGAACTTACTAACATAGCAAGACCCAGTCTTGGGCACAGCAAAAATAAATAAGTAATTGTTTTTTTTAAGTCTGTCATCACCGAGCATGGTAGGACACGTCTATAATCCCAGTATTTGGGAGATAAAGCAGGAGGATCCTTACTAGTTCAAGACCAGCCTGGGCTACAAAGTGAACTCAAGGCCAGCCTGAACTGCATAGCAAGACACTGTCTCAAAAAGAAAAAGTCCAGTACGTGCCCAGATAATACCCATCACTTCGATCCAGCAGGCCAGGTGCCTCGTGTCTTTTTTTAAAATTTAAAAATCCTCATTTGTTTCTAATGTCTGCATACAGCGACCCATCAGCCTGCAGTCTTTCTCCTTCCCTTAGTGGGTAAGGCAGGTAACCTGCTGTTTTCCTTATACTCAGAGATGAACACACATACTCCGATGGGCTCGACTTCTCGCAGCTGTCCTGCTGGGTAGGCTTCACAGAGCTGTCGGTCTCTCATAGCCATCCCATCGCATTGCACGCCTTTCGACATGACAGATGAGAGGACCTGAGAGACCTGGAAACACTCACTAGGCTTTATGGTACCGGAACGCAGAACTTTTTTTAGTTTTTACTTTAATTAGTACCATTTTGCAGTACATAATGATTCCATTATGACAGAGCATTGGCAACATGTACATGATACACCGTCATTCTTTTTTTCATCCACTTCCTCTCCCCTTTCCTCCCCACCCTCCATCTCTGGTCCAAGTCCTGTGTGCAAAAGAACTATCAGAACTTTGATCTCTTTAAATACATTTTCTCACTATAAATATATGTTTATGTATTTACTGGAGGAAATGTAGGAAATGTCAGTGGTCACCCCTAATCTCATCCTCTCCCCGAAGAGACCTTGTTAACACCTGGTTTCTATTCTCACTTTTTGTGTACAGTATTTATTAAGCACTTCCTGAATATCAGCCATTCAGTTTGTTCTGCACTGTGCATTTCAAGGCCACCTGTAACCTCTTTCATCAGTCTCCGTCTTTTTCTAGGCACATGTATACTTCGTTCATTTTCAAGGCCAGTGAGATGGTGCTGTTTTATAACCTTGCCTTTCACACTCCATGCTTTCAAAATTCTTTCTGTGTTATTAAATATTCATCAACACAGTCATTTATAACGGCTGCATGATATGTTATTGCAGGCAAGTTTCGTGCTCCCCCAGACTGAGGTGCATGTACCCCAGAGGGCAGAGCCACGGGATGAAATGTCACACGTCTTCCTGAAGCATAATTTGATTCGAAGCTTTGGCGGGCAACATTTTAATATCAAAATGAGCGCAGATACACAGCAGTGTAGCATACAGAATGAGTTTTAAAACGAAACAGCAAAATTTAAACCTGTGTGAGTTTGCAGTTATTCTCCACAGGCATACATTTCTTCCCCTCTGAGCCTGGCAGAAACATCTGGACACTGAGTTCTAATTGAAGTAGCTTTTCTATGAATAAGGAAACAGACCAAAGGAAAAGAAGAGATTGAACCTTTTGATCTCTTTTTAACTGTTATTTCTTTCTATGAATATGTTTATATGTTTATTAGAAGATGTTTGGGATATGTAAATAAAATCACCTCTAATCTCATCCCCCCCACACACACACAGAGAGAGAGTTGTTAACAACTGGCTTATGCCCCATTTATTGTGTACATTTATCAAGTACTTCTGTGTGCCATGCATGTAGGTATTGCAAAGCTGGGTCACAGAAGCTGGGAGATCCTGGGCCCGGCCCCTTCCACTCATCCACATTGGGCATCATCACTTTCACTGCATGGGTGGGGACCTTGCCTTTAAGAAATCACCCCTCTCCTTGTCCGTGGCAGGAACTCTTGCCTTGCCACATGATCCATCTGCTGATGGCATTTCTGAGCTGATTGCTCATGGACGCATAGTACCTGTACCCTCTGTGTATAGATGTGTCACTCAGATTCCACTTCATGCACTGGATTGTAAACATGTATTTACTGGTTTGTCTCACCCTTGAGACTAGGAAAAAATTATGTGTTATTGTTTCACTCTGCCACTTACCGGATTCTTACAGTATGCCAGGGACCATGCTAGGTGTTTTATCAGTAGAACTCAGAGTCTTCATAACAGCTTTCCAAAGTTGTATTATTCCCTATTACCAGATAAGAAGACAGAGTAGAAGCCGTCACTTGCCTGTCAGCCTACACTCACTTAGTAAATACTCACTGTAGACTTACTTTCCAACACTTATGCTATTGGCAGTTATGATAAGAAAACTCAGTGCTACCATGCCAGCCCTCACAAGACTCCTAGTCAAGTAGAAATGATATTCTTCAGGTCCTTTTGCAAACCATAGCAAGCGTACCTGGAGTCTGGAATCCATCCACCTGCCTCAGACTGAACCTATCTTTGCCAGTTGCCAGCTAGGTGACAGTGGGCAGATTTCTTAATGACTCTGTACCTCCTCTTCCTCATCTGTAAAATGTGGATAATCACAGTACCAGCTACTGTGAAGACTTAACCACACAAACAAATGTAAAGCACTCAGCCTCACTCATAGGTAGGAAAGGAGCGGCACAGGGTGCTGGTGTATACTGGGGCAGGACTTACTGGCAGTGAAACTGATTGAGAGCTACAGTATGAATAGGAGTTACCTTGGCAGAGTGTATGGGAGGCAGAAGAAGGGAGCAGAGTGTTGGAGGGATGTTTCAGGCAGAGCACAGTGATGGACTCGCCTGTGGGACCCTTTAAGGTGTGGCTGGAACACAGTGGTTAGGAGCCAGGGTCAGCAGCTGGGAAGGAAAAGCCCATGATGCTGATATAGGGGTGTCTCCAGCACCGGGGCACACACTGTTGGTTAGGCCATGGGAGAAGCTCAGGAAAGGTTTATTGAGTGCATATTAAGCCTTGTGTGTTCAGCTGGCAATTGTGCCATATACACAGCGATGTGTGAACAGCTTCATCGCAGCTATCAAGCTGAACACATCCTTTTCGTTGGTCCCTCACTTCTTTTTGGTTGGTCCCTTACTACCTTATTTTTTTCAACCAGGGATTGAACTCACAGCCTCATGATTGGGCTCTTGTGCCTCTGAGCTGAATCCCCAGCCCTGGTCCCTCACTTCTTGATGATAAACAAAAACCTGAATTTGGGTGGGGATCTCCCACATCTGGGACTCATCCAGGGAAATGCCACTGGTTTCTCCTATAGCTAAAGGCTCAGTTCTGAGCCCGCAGTGTTCAGATGTGTTAGTTGTTGAGCTCTGGTGAAGTAATCTAGCAGAAACCGAGCCAGGAATGGGCACAGCAGAGCTTGTGCCCTTGAGGCCCAGCAAGAGGGACTCAGTGGGACTTGTAACAGTCCCAGTAGCACTTGAAACATGTAAACTCTGTAAAGCACAGTTAGAAAACCAGGGATTGAACCCAACCCCATTCTCCAGGGGAAGAGACTGAAACTCAGAGAGGGAATGACTGCTGAGATCACCCTAGTACAGGACAACCAGAACTGGATCCCAGACATCGGGTTTCAATTCTGTTGCACAGAGATTGTCCACCATGTCAGCCTGGTTGTCCCTACTCGCTTGCAGTGTGAGGGTTAAAGTCGAGGGGAGCGGCACATGGCAATGATCTGCTCAAGATTCTAGCTTCTATCCCCAGTCAGGGCACAGACCATGAAAGAAAAAAATCCAGAGAGCGGGCATGGGTGGGTTGTTCAGGTCACGGCCTGGTTGTGCTGCCTCTCCCTACCCTCACGGTTTTTGGTTTTTTTTTTAATTGATTTTGAGGTGGTTGTTTTTTGTTTCCTTAAGAAATGGAAAAGAATGAACTGCGTAAATACAACGATATTAACTCTGAAAAACCTCCTGCCATTTTAACTCTGTTACTGGAGAAATAAAAGAGAAATAATTTGTCCACCCACACTCAGCTCTTTCTGACGAAGGTAGGTGAATATTGCCTTGTTAATCGAGGGTGACTGCTGGAAATGGAGCCATGCTGACTGATCCCAGATTGAGAGCAAGCCACAGCAACCCCTAAAGGAGCCGTCCGAGGTGGGTCGGCAAAGCCTGTGTGCGAGCAGGGCCCCAGGTCACCACTGGCTGTGTGTCCGGCCTTCTGCAGGTCTTCCCCAGCCGGTAGTGATGGAGGCCCTGGACAAGGTTGAAGGGCTCCCCGACACGCAGAGAGAGATGCCACCGCCCCCAGCGCCCTCGCCGCCCTCAGAGCCTGCTCAGAAACCGCCACCTCAAGGCGCTGGGAGCCACTCCCTCACCATCAGGAGCAGCCTGTGCCTGTTCGCTGCCTTGCAGTTGCTGGTAAGGATATTACAGGCCTCGAAAGAGCCTGGAGAGAGGGTGGGTTGGGGGCCAGCCCTCCACTACCTCCCCACTATGGCCACCTGAGCAGGCGGAAGGACGAGGGGCTTCCTCAGTAACCCCACATTTTCAAGACCGGTGTAAGAGGAAAGCTGGGATTCTGGGCAGCAGTCTGAATAGCAAAGCCCCTCAGGCCCTGTCTTCCGTAACCCGAGAACCAGGAACAAGAGGGCCCCAACCCTTGACTCCCTTGATCCTGCGGACTTCCTGTCTGTGGAGCTGTTCTGGGAGACTTCCTTTCGCATGTACCTGTGATGTCCCTTCTGGAAGGGCTTTGTCATGGCTGTCATTAGTCAGCTTTTCTCCAGGGACAGTCCCTGGGACCTCCTCTGGGTTCACGGCAGCTGGGCCCAACTCTTAACTGCCCAGTCTGAACCCAAGAGGTGCCCAGGTTGGGGCTGAAGGTGACAGAGGGGCAGCAGGGAGCCCCAACTCTGAACTCAACCCATCCCTCCTGACTGCCCCAGCTTGCCTGTGGGGTGCTCTGGTTCAGCGGCTATGGCCACATTTGGTTGCAGAATGCCACAGACCTCCTCTGCACCTCGCTTACACTCCTGACACAGCTGGGACCCACGGTGAGTAGGCTCTGGGGAACGTCGGGGTCGGGAATCACTGGAGGACTCCAGTCCCATCTAGCCCAACCCCAGGAGGGGCTTCTCTAAACCCAGGAGACTTCCGAGCCCCTGGCGTTCTTCTGCCTTCCCCATCCCAGACGTGGGATGCAGTGTTTAGAGCCTCTGTTTTGTCGCCCTGAAAATGGAAGAAAACTCTGCCCCACTACCACCCTGACCTGTTGTCTTATGTCCACCAGGCCTGGCTGGGCTCCGGGACCTGGGGCTTCCCCAGTCTGTTGCTGGTCTCCCTGTCTGTGGGCCTGGTCCTCGTTACCACCTTGGTGAGCCCCATCCTGACCCAGTGCTTTCCTCCTCTGCCCTCGGGGTCTCAATTCCTGCCTGCTCCTGACTGCAAGCTAGATGTTCTGGGTGGGACAGGGACAGATACCCATCTCCTTCCACCAAGGTGCCCAGCCTGAGGTGCAACGCTCCTGCTTCCTAAACATTGCTTTGCTGTGTTCTGGGGTAGGGAATTGGGCCGAGGCAGGGAAACCCCAGGCTCTACTTAAAAGCTTGAATCCACAAGAGACTGGGGACTGGGGGGAGGGTGTGGCTGGCAAGAGAGTGGGGCCTGAGCTCCCGTTTAGGTAAGTGGCAGTGGCTTGTAAACAGCTCCGGGAACTTGAAGGGCTTGATGTGGTAGAACCTGTGGTCCCCAAATCCTTGTGCTCCCAACTAGGTGTGGCACATCCTGAAGGCCCCCCCAGAGGCACCGACCCCACTGCCTCCGGAGGACAGGCGCCAGTCTGTGAGCCGCCAGCCTTCCTTCACCTACTCGGAGTGGATGGAGGACAAGGTGGAGGATGACTTCCTGGACCTGGACCCCGTGCCTGAGACACCCGTATTTGACTGCACAATGGACATCAAGCCTGAGGCCGACCCCGCCTCGCTGACCGTCAAGTCCATGGGTCTGCAGGAGAGGTGGGAGGGGTGGAGGAGGAGCGGGCTCCTTGGGCCATGGGATACCATCTGACTCCGGTTGCCCAGGACAGAGCTAGCCTCGTAGCTTAGCCAATGTAGACATTTACTCATCGGGTGACTGATGTAGATTAAAGCGGCTCACAGCGAACACTATCAGATCCTGTTCTGCACACGCACTGGTAGGCACAGCAGGAGTGTGCTCTCGGGCTCACAGGAGTGTAAAGGGCAGGTCACCTGGCTGCAGGGCTTTTCAGGGCCTTTAACCTGCCTATGTCCACTGTAAACCAGCAAGGGCCTAGTATGTGGCACTTCCCGAAGTCATTTGGCCACAGAACCCTTGTTTTCTAGAGCATCCTTGGGGATCTCAGAGCCTGACTGGGTCACGAAGCTCAAACAGGTCAAGTTAGCCACAGAGGTTACAGAAAGAGCCCTGGATGAGGAGTCAGGAAACTTGTTTCAGCTCTGTCATTCACTTCTTAGAGCCTGTGCAATTTTTGTCCTTTCATGGGGCCTCAGATTTCGCTGCCTGCATAATGAGAGCCCATCCTACTCAACGATTTTAGACACCGCGCATAGTGGTTTGTCCAGTATAGTTGTCCTTGCTGCTACCCTGTTGCCCTGGGGACTCTCCTTTCCGTGGCAGTGGGGTAGCCCTCCCTCTGCTGGATGAGACGTGCCTAACCATTGGCAGCCTCACCCCAGGCTGCCCAGCCAGAACTACATGTGGAGGTCTGGACCTGACCTTTCGGCCAGAGCCCTGCTTCTCTGCCCACCCTGGGCATGTCTCCTCAGTGGGCTGCCTGGAACCCAGGAAAGGATTGGGGGGTGGGCAGCAGTGACCCAGGAGAGGCTGGGGAGGGCTGTGTTGGCCTTGCCTTGACCTGGAACCCTGAATCCCCACTGTGAGAGGCCTTTGCCTGGGGGCTGAGACTGCTCCTTAGGATAGGGTCCTGTCAGGCTCCCCCTCCTGCTCCCTCCCTCCTCTCTCCACTCCCAAAGTCCCCAGGTAAAGTTTCCCCTTGCCAGAGTCTCACCTCCTCTTTCCTGGGCCTTCCAGGCGGGGCTCCAATGTCTCCCTGACCCTGGACATGTGCACCCCTGGCTGCAATGAGGAGGGCTTTGGCTATCTGGTATCCCCTCGTGAGGAGCTGGCCCACGAGTACCTGCTCAGTGCCTCCCGGGTTCTGCGAGCTGAAGAACTGCACGAAAAGGCCCTGGATCCTTTCCTGCTACAAGCCGAGTTCTTTGTGAGTCCCTCTGAGCCAGCCACCAACACCAGGCCAACCTTTCCATGCATGCCTCTCAGCCACACAGCCAGCAGTGGGGTTTGGTGCTCGAGCTTAGCACCTGGAGTAGACTGAGGTCACCTCATTATCAGCTCTCCCACCATCTCTGGCAAACTGCTTCCCCTCTGAGTCTCACTTTTCTCAGCTGGAAAATGGGATGAAAGAACAGGGTTGTTGTAAGGATGAGACAGATTGATGGCATAGGAGACCAGTGTCCCCTTTATTGTCACAAAAGCATAGGTTTAGATGGAGGTTCATCAGTGTATGGCAAGAGCCAGCTTTCTGATACCCAATCCCAGAGTCAGACAAACTTTCTGTTACTTGGAGGGTCTTGCCCAATCAGGGACCCCCATACTTCTTTCTCAGGAGGAGGAGGAGGCAGAGGAGGAAGGAAGGGCCTGCAACTCAAAGACTCACTGCCTCAATCAGACTCACCAGCCAGGCAGCTCACCCATTATGCCCCTCAGACTCACGGCTCCAAGTTCTCGGAACTTGGCACCATCTGCAGAAAAAATCTGTCTGCTCTGCCTCCTTCTGTGGCCTCATACTGCACCCCCAGCCTGCAGGATCTGTCCACTTCCTGCCAGGCCCCCCTATACCCTCCTCACCCCTTTCCTCCCTGATGCCTCTGGAAAACATTCTCCCTGGGCCTCAGCTACCCCTGCAGGCTCCCACCACCGTCACCTCCTAAGAAGAAAGCTGGCATCCTGCATGCCCTGTTAAACATTCTGCCAGAAAAGAAGGAGCCTGGCCTGAGCACCTGTCACAGGCAGTTTTGCACAAGTGGGTAGTACAAGACTGTGCAGTCCAGTGCTGAACCACTGGATTTTTTTTTTTTTTGTCTTTTTCGTTTTTATCGGTACCAGGGATCGAACTCATGACTGCCTGCTTGTAAGGTAGGCGCTTATGCTGCTGAGCTAAATCCCCAGCCCCGAACCACTGGATTAAGCAGAGGCAGAAAGCACTGAATTCGCAGTGATTACAAAGTCACTCTTTTTCTTTCAGGGCTCGAACTCACAACATTGTGCTAGGTGGGCAGGCAGCTTGTGCCGCTGGGCCATATCTCTGGCCCTACCTGGGCATATTTTGTCTGGTTCTTCATTCACCTTCCATGTAGAGAGTGCCTACCATGTGCCAGGCTGACCCTCCATAGACCATAGCGTTTGTTACGCACTCAGCACATGTCAGGCACTATTCTAAATGTTTTGTGGGTGCTACCACGTTAATAGTCAGTGTTGGTCACCCAAATGCATGCCATCAAGCCAGCTTCTGGATGAGAAGTTGAGGACAAGTAGCCCCTGGTTTGAACACCTCTGAAGGTCAACGCATCCCTGCTCACACCCCCGGGTCCTCTTTCTGCAGGAAATTCCCATGAACTTCGTGGATCCAAAAGAGTACGACATCCCCGGGCTGGTGCGGAAGAACAGATACAAAACCATCCTTCCCAGTGAGTACTCATTGCACAGGACAGGGGATGAGCTCACCCTTTGCAGGTGTGACCTTTGGCCTAGGGCAGGCCTCCAGGGGTAACGGGACAAAGGGGAAGGGAGAAGGCCACCCCAGCATGAGGGCAGAGGTTGGTCCACTTCCAGGCCAGGTGCTAGCCGGGCTCTGGAGAAACCCAGAGAAAAGCGGTGGCTCCTGAAACCTGTCTGCATCCTGTCTCTCTTCAGAGTGAGTAGATTTGGGAAGAGAAAGTTAAGGCTCAGGGAGGTTAAGCGTCTTACCTGCTGTCACCCAGCTAGGAAGGAGAAAACTGAGTTTCCAGCCTGGGCCTTTGTGACCCCCAAACCAGGCACTTCTGTCTACCTGTGTTCAGTGTGATCAGACTGTCAATCCTCCAGCAGGCCTCTGTCCTGTAATGAGCTTCTCATCACTCAGTGTGTTCAAGCAAGGCCATCTGAGCTGTCCCTTCCAGGCCCAAGAGGGGCTTTTCTCCACTGGGGCATTTAGACCATGTGACCTAATTTCTCATTTCGTCCCTGTGGTGTCATTTTCAGGTAACTTTCATCAAGTCCCTAACTGCTTACTATCCCTGGCACATCTGGACCCAGACCTCAGGGCTAGCTTGGGGAGGGGGGTGTGACTTGTTGGAAGTGAATCCCCAAAAGCCTGCTCTGCTTGGTTTGTTGAGTAGCATGGCTTTAAAAAAGCAGTTTTGCCACCAGCATCTCCAATGACATGTAAGATGTCATGACTTATTTTTAACTTTTAAAATATCGACTTGTGGTTGCTATGGTTACACAGGCTCTAGGTTAGTTCCGGTGAAACAAAGCACCATTTAAGGGCAGGATGCATTATTCAGTGTGGTTCACCTCTTCCCTTCTCTTACCCTCTCCTTCTCAGCTCTGTGTGGAGGGAGGGGCTCAGGTAGGGCTTTGTGGTTTCTCTGAGCAGCCGGTGGAGTCAGGCCATGTGCCAGCTGGGCTCCCCTGGACTGCTGACTGCTGAGTGTTGAGGTCCCCAAGGCCAACAGAGACTCATGCCCAGCCTGTGTCCTCAGACTGTCCTTGGGGACAAAGGACAGGTCAGACTCAGCAGACCCAAGACACACTGAGGTTTGTGCTCTCTGTTGCTCCAAGTCTAGTGAGGTCATTCTAGGTCATTCTTCAGATGGGCAGCATCAGAGTGGTCAGCCACACAGTGAGCAGCAGAGAACAAGACACATGAGGACAATTCCTGTTCCTTCTCCACTGTGTCCAGGTACCAGAACAGTGCCTGGCCTGTGGCAGCATTCTGCACCTATTTGAACCAATTAATGCATGAAGGACTACTGTGTCTCTCACATATAGCTCCCATATAGCTCACATATAGCTTCTCCATCTTCCATGCCAAATGACTTTTTTGGGGTTCAGGCTTCGGTGTTCCCCAGTTCCAGGGAGTACGCATTGCATTGACTGACGTACCCTGCAGAGTCATACCAGCTAGGGCAGCGCTGTGAACTTGACTCTTGATACTAGAGTGACCCTTGTGATTACCTGACCTCCACAGTCTCCTCTCCATCCAGTCCACCATGACCACCGGTGGATGCAGAGTGCAAAGCTGGTCCTGCCGTTCTTCTCAAAACTGTCACCTGTCATCCTTTCTAAGTTCCAGAGCCCAGTTTCCTCCTTCACCTTCCTGATCTTGGTCCTGTGCCTTTGAATCAGACAAAAGAGGGTTCCCTTCTCATCCTCCTGCAGGTCCTCCAACCCCAGCCAAGCACCACCTCCTCCAGGAAGCCCAGTCCAGGGCTGCTGTGTTGCCCCAGTGCAGTGCTCACTTAACACACACCACTGGCTTGCCTGTCTGCACTGGGCCTTCTTTGGGGTGGACACCAGACTTGTAGATCTAAGACCCTTCCTCACATGCACAGAACCAGACAGAGTCAGTTCTCAGCCAGGGTTTGTGGAAGAGAATCCTCACCACTTTCTCAGTGGTTCTTAAACATCAGTGGCCCCGGCTTAAGAAAGGACTGGAGAGGGTGGCTTATGCCTGTCACCTCCCATTGCCCCACCAGGTAGATCTTTCTTGATACCCATTCAGTACCCGCTCCAGCATGTTTACCAGGTACTGGCCACATCATCTCGTGGTCTAGGCACTCTCTGTACTGATGGTAACATCCTTAACCTTTGTAAGATAAGTGAGTTTCAGCTGAGCATGGTGGCACACTCTATAATCCCAGCACTTGGGAGGCTGAGGCTGGGCTACATGGTGAATCCAAAGGCATCCTAGACTACATAGTGAGACCCTGTTTCAAAAAACAAAAACAGTAAGGTATGTGAGGTCATTATGGCAGGAGTATCTCCAATTTACGGAGAAGGTACAGGAGGACAGTTGGCCCAGGCTGACATTACAAGTAAATCATGGAGACACTCAATTCCCCTAAGTCATTTGAAGCCAGGCTCTCTGGCTCGGATTTATAGACTCTTCTTGACACCTCTCACTGCCTTCGAGGGCCCCATAATATGCACAGTGGCAGTACGTTTAGTCCACTGGTACAGTGGAGAAACTGAGGCAAAGAGAAGGGATGAAATGGAGCCGGCAGCAGAGTGAGATCTGCCACCTCGCTGCCCTGAGTACAGCCCCATCCTGATGGGCTAACAATCAGCACAGGGAGGCTTTTGCTGCAAGGAGACACGTTCTACAGGAAGCACAAGCTGTTGCTGAGTTTGTTGCTATGGGAGCTGATGGGTAGGATTGGGGGCAGCTCGTAGCACGTGTGGCTGTGCTCCTGGAACCCCACAGTGTCATCCCACACATGGAGAACGTTGCCCTTTCATCCTGGTTTTTTCTTTCCACTGTCCACCCAACTCTGCAGCATTTTGTGTTGATCCACCACTTCACGGCTCACGCAGCACTTCCACGTCTGCCTCCTCGAGGATCTTCCCAGCGGCCCTAGCAGACCCTTTCGCAGCCTATTTTACAAATCAGGAAACTCAAGACTTAGGCTCTGTGCTTTGCAGGGTTACACAGACGGTGCATGATCAGACTTGGGCTGCCTGGGACCTGTCCCCCGGTCACTGCTTTCTTGGCTGGCTTTCTCCACTCCAGAGCACGGGATGCAGTGAGCACAGGGAAACTTGAGAGGCAGGCAGAGGGCAGGCACTGATGCCACTGAGGTGAGACCAAGGGGTCCCTCCCTGTCTCTCCCTTGCTCTCCATCCGAGTCCTCACAGACCAGGAGCGGAGCAGTGTCTTGCTTCTGGGCGGGAGGAGAAGGAAGCAGTAAGATCTCAAGAAATGTAGGTACTCTAGAGTGACATAGAAGTGGGGACTGCATGAGAGGGCCTAGCTCCCAGCCTCACCTGTCTCCCCCAACCCCAGATCCCCACAGCAGAGTGTGTCTGACCTCGCCAGACCCTGAAGACCCTCTGAGTAGCTACATCAATGCCAACTATATCCGGGTATGTAGGCCCCTCCTCACGGGCTCCCAGTGAAGGGGATCCAGCCTGCAGGCTTGTCACCAAGCCGCTCTGGTGGCTTCTGTGGGTCCCGGGAAGAAGCTGGTGTAGGGACGGACTGGACCCCAGCAGCACTGCCTCTCACTCTGACTGTGTGGGCTTGGCTGGTCACAGGGCTACCGTGGGGAGGAGAAGGTGTACATCGCCACGCAGGGGCCCATCGTCAGCACGGTGGCCGACTTCTGGCGCATGGTGTGGCAGGAGCACGCGCCCATCATCGTCATGATCACCAACATCGAGGAGATGAACGAGGTAGGATGCCTGCCTCGTCCCCAGGTGCTGCTGCTTCGTGCTCCACACTGCACCTCCATGGACCTAGGAGCATTCACTCCTCTATTGAGATGAGATGTGATGCTGGGTGAGGCCAAGTCATCTGCTCCTCCCAGGCCACCAACTACCCTAGCTGTCTGCTGCCACAAAGGCCCATGTCATTGAGTTTCCAGGAAAGTCTTTCAGATCAATAGGGAAACTGAGGCCCAGAAAAGAAAATTTGCTTATGAGTCATGAAGCTGAGATTTGAACCCCACACTGACAGCCCACTTGTTGGGCTTGTATATGCCACCACCAGCTCCAGGGAGGGAAGGGGCATCGAGAGTGTGGGAGGTACAGGGTGTGTCCCAGCCTCATCTGAACCCTTGCAGAAGTGTACCGAGTACTGGCCAGAGGAGCAGGTGGTGTATGACGGCATGGAGATCACCATTCGGAAGGTCATTCACACTGAGGATTACCGGCTGCGGCTCATCTCCCTCCGGGTGAGGCCTGGGGCTGGGAGGATGGGGCTGGGGTCTCCAGAGCCCACAGGTCCACTGAAGCTGAAATAGAGTCCTGTGTTGGTTAGGGGCAGAGCGAGGGAGGGGAAGATGGACACAGGGGCCAAACGCCTAAGTGCCAGGTGCATTTCCCAAACCACCATTGCTGTCAGTGCTGCTGGGCTGCTGTATCATGCTGCATGAGGCCGGGAGCTCCTGGGTAAGGGCATCCTCTAGCATTGTCAGCATCTCTGCAGAGTGGGTGCCAGGCTCTAGCCCGCAGTGCCCAACATGTCCACCAGAGGGCAGGCACTCCTCGCTGCTGCGGGCTTGAGCAGGCTGTGGTTACAGAAAATGGCAAGGAAAAGGAAAGCACACAATATTAGCAATGCAGAACAGCTCAGAAGAATGGGGGAGGTACCCTCCCACCCCGAAGTTGTGCTTCTTCCAGGGTGGCATAACAGAAGAAGCTTTCCTATTTGGAGGTTCTGTTTCTGGGAAATGACAGGATCTGAGTTTAAGGAAGGTAGAGTCCATTATAATAAATGAAGTGTGAAAGGTGAGCCAGGCACCAGGACCAGATGCCTTACCTAGACACAGGCTGCAAAGTCCACGATGGAAACAGCCACGAGGTTCAGCTCCAAAAATATGAGTTCAAGGCCTGCAACTCAAGTCTCCGAGCTGTCCCCTCTTTCCCTGGATTGGATGCTAGGCCCATGCCCACATAAATGGCTCCAAGATACAGCCTTTCTGGAAGATCTGAAAGATCAGGAAAGCTGTGCTATCTTCCACAGCTCAGTAACCTAGGAACTAAAGGAACCTTCTTCTCGAAAGGAGATTCCCAACAAAGAGGCCGCAGGGCAGGGAATGTTCATCTTTCAGTGCTGGTTGGGGAAGAACCAAGGCATCTTGGGGTGCGAGGGCATTTGCTTTTGTCCATAAACTGTTACAACTGCCTGCCTTGGGCTTGGTTCTGAATTGAGGACCAGGAATATAGCTGTCCAAAGCCTAGATTCTCTTGTCAAGAAGTGCCCATAAGGTGGTAAATGCTAGAGATAGATGAGGGTACAAGAGCTTCCCTGCCAGCTGTCATGCTCAGGGAGGGCTTCCTGGAAGTCTTGGTGTTGGATGGGGTCTGAAAGGAAAAGAGAGAGTTGGCCAGGAGCAGAAAAAAGGTAACAGTTAAAGCATGCATGATGCAACAGCTCTGTGACGTGTGTGTGCTTGCACGGGTATGTGGGGGGGGGGTGTTACATGGACATACTGTGCTGCACAGATTCTGTCATAAACCTTTTACAACACAGGAGCTCAAGTAAAAGGACGCAGTACAGATGTGCCCCAAAGAGTAGGTGTCACTAGGCATCTTGCTTTCCAGGCTTGCGGCTAAGGAGAGTGGTTTTCCTCAGAGTGTAGTGAGAGCCTTCGAAGGGAGTCTTGGTCGGTTCAGGCTACTGTAACAGTATGAGAGACTGGGTGGTTTAAGGACAGCAGGTTTGTTTCTCCCCGTTGTAGGCAGGCAAGTCCAAGATTCGACACCACCCTTACACATCCTCACACTGGAAATTAGGTTTGCACATACAGATTTTGGGGTGGAAGCAGCACGCGCAGAGGAGTGCTGGGGATAGACCGTCCCCATCTCAACAAGGCCACGGAGAGAGCGGCGGTGGGGGGAGAAGGTGACAGGACAGTGGAATGGGGCATACAAAGCACAGCCAGAGGAAAGAAAGTCCTGGGGCTCCAGGCCTGGTGACTAAGGGCCCACTGGGACATTTGTCAGGGTAGGGAACATAGAAAACAATGAATTGGAAATGGCACCTCTTGGATGATCCTGGTGTCGATGATACAGCACTGGAGAGCAGGCCAGCAGAGACTGCCAGGCTGCCTTCAGGCCTCTGTCTGGTACCTGGGGCAGTGGGGTGTAGACGAGAGGATAGAAGGCGCCTCCTTCCCATGTTCCTCCTCCCTGCATCCCATCTCTGTCTCCGGGACTTGTGGGCTCAGGGCGCTCACATATATGTGGGCTGGGCCTCTGTCCCTGAGCAGAGCGGAACTGAAGAACGAGGCCTGAAGCACTACTGGTTCACATCCTGGCCTGACCAGAAGACCCCAGACCGGGCACCCCCACTCCTCCATCTGGTGCAGGAGGTGGAGGAGGCGGCGCAGCAGGAGGGGCCCCACTGTGCCCCCATCATCGTGCACTGCAGGTGGGTTCTCCTGTGCCCATGGGGACAGGGCTACCTGCCTGGCCTCTGGGCCGCCCCACCTCTCACCCCGCCCTCCCCCATGGCCCTCAGTGCGGGGATCGGGAGGACTGGCTGCTTCATTGCCACCAGCATCTGCTGCCAGCAGCTGCGGCACGAGGGTGTAGTGGACATCCTGAAGACCACGTGCCAGCTCCGACAGGACAGGTCAGCCCATGGCGGGGTGGTGGCACAGGGGACAGGGGCAGATGATGCACAGGCCCGGGCAACAAGCAGATGAGTAAGCTGGAGGGGCAGGGTGGGGAGACGGCTGATGGATGGGTAGACCAGGAGCAATAGGACACCTGGTCTGTGTCCCAGCGAGTAGTGACTGGTGCTTCTGGGCCTGGGGTCCCTGTGGCGACCTGTCCCCACTGTGCGTCTCTGCTGGGCAGGGGTGGCATGATCCAGACATGTGAGCAGTACCAGTTTGTGCACCACGTCATGAGCCTCTATGAGAAGCAGCTGTCCCGCCAGTCCCCAGAGTGACCATGCGCCTCCTCCCAGGTCCTCGGGGCCCTGCCCAACAGCCAGGGACCTTGCCGTGGGACCTGGGCTGCTCCTACCCAGCCCCTCTCTCCTCCCCTCAGTGTGTTCCTTCCTCCCTTGAGCAGCCTGGCCTGGCCCCACCCCTGGCAGAGCTCTTCCTACTGTACATACGGCGAGTGAGGGAGGACAGGGAGGAACTCGCCAGGCCAGGCCTGGGGCCCCGGGGCCTGACCCATACCGTGCAGCCAGGGGACCCCAGTTTTAACGATGGTTCCATTGCTACTTGATCCAAAATATTCCTGTGCTGCACTCTTGAGTGTCCTGCCACAGCGTGTTCTGTCTGTCCATCCATCTCTGCTGTCTGTACCGGACACTGTGTCTCCTCAGCCCAGGAAAGGGGTCTGAGCTCCAGCCCCTCGGCACCCAGGCAGAGGTGCCTGCCTTGGCTCCCCCCACCCTACTTCCCCCAACAAGCAGGCTGCACTGCAATGAGACACAGGATGTAGAGGGTGGGACTGCAGAGGACCTGGAGGCCAGGCATGGGGAGCTCCCAACTGGGAACAGTCTCTGGGTTGGGGTGGGCATCACAGACCAGGTGCCTTGGGGTGTCAGGTGCCTGGGGGTGGCAGGGATCAGCCTGTGAGGCCTGGGACAGGAAGGGGTCAGGTGGGGGTGGAGCCCCAAGGCTTGGGCCCTGGAAAGGGTGAGAGGGGAGCTTTGAGAGTGAGAGTGGGGCGGGGACTCCACCCCCTCCATCTGTGTGACACATCTTCCTGCCTCAAGGTGGGGAAGCTGCCCCAAGAGTGTCGCTTCATGTCGCTCTGCGTGTGTTCCCGTGTCCATGCGTGTGTTGAGAGCCCTTCAGCAGGGCGTGCATGACTCTTTGGCAACATGTGTTATCTTGGAGCCACGTGTTTTTATTGCTGACTTTAAATATTTACTCCATGACAAAGACATTTGGTGTCTTTTTATAATTCGCCCGTGGTCACTGAATAGAGCAATAAACAGAGCATTTTGAGCAAAACTAGGCTCCTGGGTCTGTGTGATCTACCTCTCTACCCCACTCTCTGTTTCTGGGTACCTCAAGATTTTGGGCGTTTTTTCCCCCTACCCAAGCGCCCTGAGCCCCGTGCTTGCGCTCATTGGCTCCCCTTATGGGCACAAGTCCAAATTTTAAAAGCCAAAATAATTCTCTTCTGCATAATTTTTACACACTGTCAACCCTAACCTGCCCAAGTGCCCTGAGCTAGAGGAAGCCTCAAAGACAGCTACGGGAAGCTTCCAATGTGATGGGGAGGCCACCAGCAGTAACAAGGGCGCCACAGAGACCAAGGCTGGGGAAAGGGGACATTGGAGTCACACCCAGGCAGCTCCCAGCAGCAGCTGCAGCCCAGCCATTTCTGCTGTGAGAGTCACCCCTCCCAAGGGCCCAGGAATTCGATGTTAAGCCATCCCGGACACATCCTCCTCTATTCTTATCTGCTGCCCCTGGGATGGAGCAAAAGTAGCTGTGAACACAATTGATAGCAGTTGGGGTCACTCTGGGGCAGGAGGGGATGCAGGGCAGGGCTGTTAATTAGCCAACAGGTCCATACAAGATACCAGAATCAGGCTGAGGATTTAGCTCAGTGGCGTAAGTGCCTGCTTGGCAAGAATGAGATCATGAGTTTGATCCCCCATACCAAAAAAAAAAAAAAAACTAGAACCTTGGGTAGGTTGGTCAAGGATCCACCTATGCAGGGCATACTGCAGATGATAAGAATGGGGCTGGCTGATATGTTTATTTGGGGGCCCTTTCCAGGGGCTGTAGTGTGGAACAGTAGTGACTTGCTCACATCCCCCTCTGCATCCCCAAAGTGGTCTTGTAAGACCAAGTACTAACCTGAGCCCCTCAGCTCACAGGTCCTATCCAGCAGCACTGAAAAGCAAAATCTCTGCCACCGGGCACAAGAAAAGTATTCCTGGGCCTCAGATTTCCTCCAATCCTGAATCCAGCAGCCCCCTACAACCACCACTAATTGCCAGAGTAGGTGTCATCTCGCTGAAGGAAGAGCTTGAGTAAAGGATCACCCCCAGAGGGACAGATATTTAAGGAACTGATGACTCTCAATGCCTCACTCTTGAGGTGAAGGAGGAGGAGACTGCCCACCCTGCAGTACAGACACTAGCTGAGCCTCCAAGCTGTGGACACAGCATTCTGGTGTTGGAAGGTACTGATTCGTGCAAAAGGTAAGGGTTCTCTCTTCTTCTGGGGCGGAGCCTGGTACCTTTTGAGCCCAGAGAGCATCATGAGGGAGATAGCAAGAGTGGGTGGGAGCACAGGCTGAGGAAGTGGTCTCAGATTCAAAGTAGGAACAGCCCAGCTAGAGATGAATGGGCTAGAAGTAGAGGATAGCCTCAAACCACCATCAGAACTCTCAGCAAGGTTTCCGAGTTCCCTAGCAGGGACTGGCTTGGCTTCAAGGAAACTGGATTCTGTTCTCAGTGACCTCGGTCAGGTCATTCTTCTACATTGCTTCCTCATGTACTGGAAAGGGTTTTAAAAACTGCCAATCTGGTGACATAATTCCTTCTGATCAAGGTACAACCCTTCATCAAAATACTATGGAGCTCTTAACAAAAATGAGGACTTGGTATATAAAGATCTCCAAAATATAAGTGGAGGAAAAAAGGTAAGAACGGTGTGTACCGTAGACTTCCTGATGTACAAACGGAGGGAGACAAAAACACGTATCCACATTTGCCTGGAGGAGCTCTGAGAGGGGTTGAGGCACTTCATATGGCCACTTGTTGGGAGAGATTGGGAAACAGAGGACGCAGGAAAAGGATTGAATTACCAAGTCAGACCAAGTATAAGACATGAGAACTAAAGCTCTGCCTTTACCACATTGGAAATGAAAGCAGAGCCGTGGAAATGCACTGTCATCTGCCTAACATTCACCAATGCCAGGGGTCCCCAAGCCTAAGAAGAAGATCTACATCTTTTTTCTAAAGCCTCTTGCACATTGTTGGGCCAGGAAGTTGCTTCTTGGGTCTCATTTCATTCCCTCCCAGTGAAAGATCTAGTTTCCCTAGTCCCACTAATTAGGGCCCTTAACTAGGCCTTAATAGTTAGCAAGTAAATGTAAACTCTGTATCCTACCTTCCAAAGAACATGGAAGAGCTGGAAGTTATTCAGGAAAAGAATGCTGGCTCTTGTAACCAATCAGAGAAAGGTAAATAGGAAATAAAGAGAGATCAGGGAGTAAGGCTTGCTAACTGACTGCTACACTCACACTCTCCTGCATACTCCATCTCTTCATGCAAATGTGTGCATGGTACATATATGAGAGAGTGAAAGAGGGAGAGCATGGGCACACCCCTCTGGACATCCCTCCTCCCTCTCTTGTCCTCCCTCCCTTGTCCTCATGACCTCATCCTCTCCTGGCCCTACAGGTGAGTGCCCAAGCTATTATTACAGGAGCACATAGCCGTGAAGGAATACATGTCCATGGAGTCTCCAGCTCCACTACCCACGTGCACACCTTCTCCCAAACAACCAAGACCTCGGGAGGCAAACGAAGTGTGTGGCTGGGGCAAGTATCAGGAAGGCAAAGACTTTCTTCCTCCACACTCACCTTTGCAAGGACTTCATCTTTATCATTAGTGTGGGCCCCTCGGGAGCCCGTAGCAACCTCCTCCCAACCTATGCTTCCAGTTGGAAGCTCTGGGTGTTCACCCAGGATCCCAGTTCCAGGAAGCCAGATTAGGAATAAATCACATGGATATGTATGATGGATTGATAAACTCTTAATTGCTTTAGAAGACCAGACCCAGAGGCAAATGACCTTTTATCTCTTGGGGTAGGATTTCAGGCCTGGGAGAAAGTAGCAACCTTATCTACACATGAGTAATGCCGACCCTGTTCCACTTAAGAAATGGGAAACTTGGCTAATGTGGAGGCAGGATGAACACATAAACAAGTGACCTAAGCTCCCAGACTCTTAGCCCTTGGGGGACAGACCTGAAAAAGGATCTCAAGGGCAAAACAGACTGTTTAAGTCATCTCCCTACTGGGAAGTTATTAAAAGATGGCCAAGGCCCAGGATATTAAACATCCATCCTCAAATTCATTGCCTGTCCCTCCGAGTCCCAGAAGAACACAGTGACTCAGAGGCTGCTGTGCACAAAGTCAAGGCCAGGTGAACGCTACACCAATCACTCCTGGCCAGTGAAACAGAGCGAGTGGAATAGCCAGGATTCGAGGTCTGCGGTGTAGACCAGAAGCCGAACACACACGTGATTCAGAGCAGTGATTCTCAGCCTGACTGCACATTAGAGTCACCTTAGTGGCAGGGTAAAGGTCCGAACAGATAAATGGCGATGCCCGAGTCTAACACCAGACGGTTCAATCAAGTATTCTTGAAAGCTCTCCAGGGATCCTTTAGCTACAGCTGAAAACCACTGACCAACAGAGTCCAGGAAGAGAACACAAATGTGGAGAAGGGATTGGGGTAAACAGGAGAGGGCACCCAATGTAGAGGGGAGCCTCAGTTCACTCCTCACTGACCTCTGCTGTATAAGAGCCCAGGGGGGTTCAGAATACCGCAACCTGAACTATTATGTGAAACCTTTGGATTTTCAGATGTAAGCCTACCATTTGTGTACACATTGGAGGTTAAGTGTACACAAGTAAAGGATATGCCTGCACATTGCTGTGTAAGTGACGCTGTGACTATTTAAAAGCAGGCTGTCAGGGCTTTGTTTTGTTCGTTTGTTTGTTTGTTTTGTCTCTGTGCCTCAGATTTGTGGGGATGCTAAAAGCATGGGCTTCACAGGGATGTTGTGCAAATTGGATAAAACCATCTCTGACATGTGCCCAGCACCATTTTGGACACAGGGAAAGGACTCCAGGAATCAGAGCCATTTTTATTCATTGATAACTCACCAGCCAACATCTGTACTCTATACTTCTCAGCCAGGTCTTGTCTTCCAAATACAGAATTATGTTACCACACTGAAATGCTCTGGGGGCTGGAGGTAAAGCTCAATGGCAGAGAACATGTTTAGACCTGTGTTTGATCCCAGATAAGGATCAGATAAGGAAAGTCTCATATGTAACCTTACTGAAAGTATCTTTTCCTCAAGAATCATCAAACCTGGCCAGGGATACTGGCCCACACCTGTAATCCCAGCTACTTGAAAGCCTGAGACAGAAGGATCGACTACAAATTCGAGACCAACCAGGGCAACTTAATGAAATCATGTCTCAAAAAAAAAAAAAAAAAAAGGAATGTAGTTCAGAGTTAGGGAGCTTGCAGGAAATTCTGAATTCAATCCCCAGTTCTACAAGAAAAACAATTACTACTACAGATGCAGTAAACGCTAAACCACAGAGCTGCAACAGAGAGAGAATCTAGAACAGAGTTCAGCTAAGTTATAGCTCTGCCAGGACGAAGCAGGCCTGGTGAACTTAATGCTACCCGAGGCTCAGCACTTTGAAAAGTCCAGGAAACAAGACAATCCCAAACAGGAAATCTCCTTTTTAATTTAAGAAAAAAAGCTCAGACACCACCGAGGGGTGGGAAGGAGTCAGCGTCCCCTTGACTTCCACCCGGAAGTCAATCACAGGTGTGTCCTCCAATACTGGGCCATGCTCCCACCAAGCAAGGTCTTACCTCTCACTCGCCCCACAGAGGAACACTAGTGGAGGACTTGCTCGAGCTCCAAGCTCCCACCATGTCTGAGTTCCAGGGGAAACCTCACCCCATCGCCTCCCTCCCCAAAGGACACATCCCTCCTTGAGTCTCCCCAGCACCCTAATCCCCACCCCTGTGTCCTCCAGTACAGGGACCCTGGCATAGCCAAGCCAAGGGTCCCTCACAGCCCAGGCTGGGCCCAGATTCCCAGGAGGAGTCAGCCTGCACCCAGCCTGAAGGCTAAGGTGAAAATGCAGCCTGTGCCCCCCGCATTCATGTTCCAAATCCAGGTGCAGGGCAACCCCAAACCCATCTTCTGGAAGAAGGAGGTGAATCCTCATCAAGG